GTGTGTGTGTGTGTGTGTGTGTGTGTGTGTGTGTGTGTGTGTGTGTGCGCGTGTTGGTTTCAGAGTGTCTGCCTCTTTCATCTCACAGCTTTATTATGTCAGTGTCTAAATGAGTGACAGATAGCTCTGGAGGAGCTCCAAGCAATAAGCTCATCTCTCTCACACACACACACACACACACCTACATACGCAGCCTTTTACGATAATACATTAACTAACAATGCATACATTTAATCTTCATATTTCTCTCAAAACTAGGATGTGTTTTTTTTTTTCTTCAGCTATTCCATTTTTAGCTTGTAATGTGTCTGTGGCTGCACTAATTAGCATGGATATGTTCCTGTTCTCATTCACAGCACATGTGAGTGGTTAGTCAGTCAGTCTGCGAGTGAAATTGAACAGAGCATCATTGTGAGGAGAAATGGCGCCTAAAGCAACATATGGCTTCAGCTTTGGAAACTTCACATTCCATCATGATACACTCATCACTCTGCATGTCTGTCAGCCTACAGTACACACACACAAACACAAAAAAGTGCTTTAGCACACACATCCATTTGCATGGGCTATGCTACAAATGATTTGCACATCCAACACAAAACTGTGTTGATGTGTCCCAGACTGGTTGGATGAGGTGATGTTCATCCAATCACGTAGTTAACAATCATCGTTGCAATGACTGTAGGGCATATCTTTTGCCGCATGATTCACACCGCTCTAACAAATCTACTCTGATAAAAAAAGAAACGTTGACAAAAAGAAAAAAAAGCCACTGTGAAATGACTGTAAAAACATGTACAGATGTTAGCTGGAAATAAAAAAAAAGAAAGGTATTATCAGCTTAGAGCACTACAGGAAAGTTTTGGATTATGAATGTCAGACTGTAGACAAGATGAAAGAAATCAGCCTGCCATTAGATGATGTTAAAAAACAAAACGTTTGAAAGGATTTTAATACATACTTAGATAAAACTGGCTGGGTGGTATCTGTTCAAGCTTCAGTTCATTGCCACACTCGCTGTCCCTGTGAATATTTTGATTTTTATTTATTTATTCATAGACATTAAAGTTAAAAATCTAATTACAGTTTGTCTTGTTCCTGTTTAACTTTGTGTGTCTTTTTGAGTGTGACTTGATTTCAGCTGCAGTTTAAAGTTAATCACATTTAGAGTGTGTATTTTGTGGGTTCAGCTTTCACAACTGCCTCATTTGAAACGAGTTATTGGAAACACTGTAATGAACAGTGGTCATGTTTATTTCTGCTGATGTGAGAGGAGTAAGTCAGTTGGATGTTCGGAACAGAAACGGTCTTTGATGTTCTAAACTAATTCAATTCATTTCAAATTCAAAAATACTTTATTAATCTCAAAGGGAAACAAAGTGTTGTTGTAGCTCATCATCCTGGTTTAATTCAAGAGTTGTTAGAGGCTGTGGGCAGGAAGGATGTCCTGCAGTGAGTCCAAAGAATCTGGCCACAGATACTGATCCGTCCACCCGGATCCAGCTTGCTGTCAGATCCGGTGAACCTCTCGGTCCTCCTGGGCAGCAGGATTGCCTGAATGCTGGGCAGAATTCCTCCCTGAGCAATGGTCACTCCTTCCAGCAGTTTGCTGAGCTCCTCGTCGCCACGGACAGAAAGCTGAAGGTGTCTGGGGATGATCCCAGTCCTCCCATTGTCACAAGCCAAATTTCCCACCAGCTCCAGGATCTCGGCGGTTAGGTATTGAGCACCGCTGCCAAGTTGACAGGAATTCATCCACGGCGCCTCCTTTTCAACTCATTTGGGATTTGGGACTGTAGCTGAGGTAATTGAGCTTTTGAGATGTTAATCAGCTGCTCCTGGTTGTTAAAAAATGCCTTGTTGCCATGGTTATGCAGCATAACAAATGCCCAAAAGTCAAAAGGTTTCAATAAAATTCCTTCCAGCAGCACATCATCTGATACCAGAGGAAATAATCATCAGAAAAAAGTGATTTACATTCAGAAAAAAGAGGAATTAACGTTTTCAAAAGCAATAAATCAGAATGAATGTAACAGAACTACTCCAACATGCAGCCACCCCAATTCACTGTATCTTCATATTTTCGTTTTGTGTTTCAATGTTTTAATTAATCTCTTTTAAATAACCCCCCATAGTTTTTTTTTATTAGATAGAATTTGATGTCTGCTGAGAGCAACCACTCAAAAGAAGCCCATTTCAAACACTTGTATTTGGTACCTTGTTCTTTTGTTCATAATCTACTCCTCATGACGACAGGTGAGGGTTGGAATGATGAACCAGTAAACTGAGGGCTTTGTCTTTTGGTTCAGCTCCTTCTACTGTATATCACAATTGCCGGAGCAACACTGTCATTACTACTGTCGAAGCCCCAGTCCATCAGCATTCCCCGTTTTTCCAAGTTAAGTTCTTAAGTTCAGTGAAACATTTTTATACAACATTTTTTCTCCACTGTCAAAAATACACCCCTTGTTCTCAAAAGAGTGTCATTTTTTTTCCTGATTATCTAATTCTTCAGTTTTGTGCCGAGTTCATAAAAAAGGTTGTTTTGTTTCTCAACTGAGGTCTCTTAGGTGATTTTGACCCAAAGGCAGCAGGAGGGCTAAATAAAGGTCTGAACACTTTACTGCATAAGACTGTATACCAAGCCACTCAGCTTGTGCTACTTTAGGTAAATCAGTTTCTGTCTCAGGGTGTTTGGCTTGAAATGCACCAGGATGTGTGTCTGGATAAAATTATTCTGAGTTTATCTGATACTTCTGCAACATATGGGATAATAATATGTTTTGTGCCCTTTTTTTTCTTTTTCTCCCCATTCAGTTCTGTGAAGTTTATTTTGTTTTATTGTTCCAGATTTCCTGGCTGACTTGACCAAAACCCAGTTAGGTTGTCCACAGGTTTAAGGAACTTCTTTGATGTGTCTGTCCTCCTTATATTTTCCTGTTCACATGTTCTGTTCACATGGGGGACATATGTAAGTTCAACTTTTTAAAGTACTATGTTGAGCTGAGAATAATGAGCAGGACAGACGACCAGATCATGGACTCATGCAGCCTTTTTGAGCCCATTAGTGAGATTGTCCCAAAATTGACATAAACCTGGAATTCCCCACTGATGATCAGAACTGAAGAAGCCTTTCAGTTGCAAGACAAAATATCTTCCAGAGACAAGAAGTGAGGTCCATTTGGATTCTATTTAAATAAAACCTTGAATCAAAACTCTTATTCGAGTTCTGAGGGGAAAAAAAAAATGAACAGGCAAGATGGTGTCCTCAAAAATGAGCCTGTATTTCAGCATGCAGCCAGAAATGTGGAAAAAATTTAAATAATGTTCAAAAATAAATAATAGGATAACTTGTGTTTCTTGTAAACATGACAAAGTGAAATCAAATCCAGGATGAGGTTTAACCACAGTACTGATACGCATGTAGACAAACCATCATAAAAAAAAAAATATATATATATATATATATATATATATATATATATATATATATAAAATACAACAGACTTCGGATTACAACACTGGAAAAAAAAGCAGGAAAGACAACGAAAACAGAGTCTGTCATTCATTTATGAGTGTTTGTGTAGTTTATCTCACCGGGGATGTCTTTTTTGTCTTCCTGTTTGTTGGTCTGAGCTTCCACTGCTTTCACAACATGTCCAGTACAACAAGCTGCCAACAAAACACAGAACAAGAACTCTATAAAACCCAAATATCAACATTTAACTGAAACTGGGTGAGAATCTGTGTGTGCCTCACCTTGGCTATTTGGTTTGGCTTTCAGGATGTAAAACATTATGATGAGAACGATGGCGATGGCCATGATAAAAATTGTTGACATGGCGATAATGAGTGCTGTTGCTAGATGACCTTGGTCTGGTGTACCTGGAAAATGGATGCCATAATGAAGGTGTGAGTAGGTTTGTAGGAAGATACAAAAAAAACTGATGGATGAAAGAAAAATTACGTTTGTGATATTTTACCTTCATGTGAAGGGTTGGGAAAAACTGTTGTGCTGCCGAGGTTCATCGGACGTTTTTCTTTTGGCTCGATGGGTAGCATGCCTGTAAAACACAAAAGTACACATTTTATTCTTACACTTTCAGCTCAGTTATCTGTTCAGAGTCAGAATAAGCTTTATTATCATTGCACCGAAGTTCAGCGAGATAATCTTCCATACAGTCGTTTGAAAGATGAGCGGAGTGCACGTGGTTGCAGCTCCTAGGAGCGCAGCCCCTTATTCTTTAGATAGAAAAGGGGAAATACCATGAGGAAAGGATAGTGGTGTTTCAAAAAATGTCTTTCCATACCTTGTCCTTGACAGGACATGATTCAAGACATTGAAAAACTCTACCAGTAAGCACATTTATAGACATGTACTGTATGCATTTGAGAACAAGACAGTGAGGTTTGTCCATGAAGCACATCCAGATAGCACCATAGTCCTGCTAAGATGTTGGGGTGTGCGCGGGGGATGGATAGAGCATAGCCTTCTTAGTTTACACACATCCCAGGAGAAATTTGATAAGTTGGCCTGATTCAAGGCTGAACGGGGAAGTCAGATACAGATGAGCCACAGTTGTGTTTTTGTTCAGGCAGACTGTTATTTCTCATCAGCCTTAAGTTCTGCTCGTACTTTCAATATCCAAAATGGCCAGATGTGTGGGCTTTCCGCTGGTCCGTGCTTATTAGCTTCCTCCAAGGTCGATCCCAACACGCTGGCAAGTTCCAAAGCCGCAAGTGTCCTACGATTCTCATAAATCACTTCTGTCTCTCCATCTGCATCCGTTGATGCAACAATTAAAATTAATGTGTTAGTAAGCTGCTGTTGGGTGATACTTTGAGGCTGACAATCCAAATTTCAACCAATCGTAAACAACATGCTCAACACAATTCAAACTCTTGATAGAGAAGCGTTATCAGTCATACACCATATATATATATATACCAACTCAAAAACTAATGTAAATGAAAATAATGTCTGTTCCTGCTTTTTCTCCACCTACAACAACTTGAAGTCATGGTTAATTTACAGTAGCATATACGTGGAAGCATTTCTTTTTGCCTTAAATGAGCACCAACAATTCCATTTTTTTTATTTAACTGCAGCAATAAAAGAACTAACGACATAAATTTGTTTTATGCAGTTAGAAAGAGTGATTCGCAGTTCAAAATCAGATGCATCAATAAAACTGGCCAACATCTTCTTCTTTCTGCTTTTCTTCCTGTATTTCACTCTGTCCTCTGCGTCCTCCATCCTCATTCCATTTACCAAAAATAGGCAGTTGTCTTAAAAACTGTTTTGAGTCTCAAAAAAATAAAACATTTAAGCAAGAGTTCTTAGCATTGATTGAAAAAGACACGCACACACACCTTAAAAACATGATTCGCACAAAACACAAAAGTGGAATAAAAGTAAAATCTGAGGTTTGTGTAGTTTAATTTGGTGAAAGACTTGCAGTGTGGTTGTATTAACCAACAGGTTGCATTTTACATTTTGTGTTTCTATCTTTCGTGTTGTTTTAATGACCTGGACCAGTTTAGTTCATGGTTCCCAATGAAATTGTGCATAAAACGTGAATCACTACTATTTATTCATGGTCAACCACACAGAATAAGAAGGTGAGTATTTAGAAATGATAGAGTGCTTTCTTTGAGCAAGTTCTAGTTTTAGCCTATTTAACGTGAATGATTTTGTCAGGCTGAATCCTACAGGCTTCTTTCAAAAGCTGAGAATGCAACTTCTGAAGACATGCACTGTCGTAGAAAGGGTTGAAGTAGAGTTTAACGTATCGCTAAAAACTGGCTGCAAGGAAGATCCTTTTAAAAACAAGCTATTGCTCCAGTCCTGTATTCTTGTTGTGTTTTAACCAATGCATGCCATAAAGATTTAATAATGTCCTCAGGAAATGGTGTCAACTTGTAAAAAAATCTGCAACAATATGTCTCTTTTAATGAATAGCTGATCCAATTCTATGTTCTTCAACAGAATAATTTCATTTAACATGGTAGCTCAAAGGTTTTTCTACAGTCTTGCTGACAAACAGACAAATGGCTTTGATCAAATATCTTTGCATTGGCAGTAGATAGGTGATTGTGGCTAAAGTAGACATTTTAAAGAATGTGGTACGAGAGCAGGATGTGGGAAGGAGCTTTGGGTCTCTTGGTGGCCAGACAACATGGGGAAACATGGAACAATTCCATTCTTCTGCTCTGTCTTCATTTTGCAGCTGTGTTTATAAACAATATTTGCAACTGCATTCATAAATGCCATTCAATGTTTTTTTTATTACTAACAGCTGGACTTTATAAATCCTTTATGCAATAACACTGATTTGCTAACTCACAAATTAACAGCAGGCAGTATTGCAAATGACATTTACCAACATTGCCTGATGTCGGTAATGTAGCTGGGGATTTTGAACACAACGAAGATTACGGTAGATTAACGTACATTAGTTTATTTTTTTTATTCCCCTTTATACTATTTAAAGTTTTGGTGCCATTCTTTAATTAGTATCTGGGTTGAAAATGGGATTAAAAAAAAAAAATGAAACAGCTGTTAGAAAACTAAATCGCTGATGTGGATGACTGGTTAAAAAGTGGGTTTTGGTGGGTTTTTAAGGAACTTGTAGAGAACTTTAGTTACATTCATCACAGGGATATGCATATATCTTGTGACTTTCTCGTAAGTTATAATGACATGTAAAAAAAACATATTTTGAGAAAAATGTGCTTAATAACTAAAGTTATATATATATATATATATATATATATATATATATATATATATATAAAGTAGCACCTTAGCATAGATATATCACTTACTTCACACTAGAAGCAAGAAAATATTAAGAACATACACCAAAATACATCCATACATATAAAAGCATTTAAAAATACAGGAGAAATAAATAGAAATAGAACACACACAACATTTAACATCAAGCTTACAGAACCAAACACTATATCACCTTCATTGCATTTTATTTGTATTTCCTTAAAAAAAAATCTTCCTAAACTTGGCATTATTGTTAAATAAAAAAAATAAAAAAAACAGTAAAAAAGGATTATTGTAATTTTCTAGAAAAACACCGAAACATGCAGTTGGTCCAGTGAGATACTGGTTTTAAAGCTGTGATGGGAAGTTCATCTTGAATTCAAAAAGCGTTCAATACAAAAAGTTCATCTTGGTAAGAAGAGTGTGCAGTGGGTCTGAATCAGCCCTGCTGTGTGTTAGAGGCACAGCCAGCAGGTTTGACAATATACAAAGGTGTTTCACTGAGTGCATATGTTGCCACTCTTTGACGATGGGCTGTTGGCTTCAACTTTACTGGTCAGTTTTCTTGGAGCCTGGTGTGATTTTGTAAACAAGAGAATTCCCCAAAAGCACATTAACATGCCTGACAGGTGATAAACTTTGATTCCTCTAGTATAAAAGCAGTTTTATCATTCAACGTTGGTACAAAGCAGTATGCCTCCTTGTCTGTTTTCCTCCATTTATCTATTGCTTCCAGTCCTCCCCTTCTGGGTTTTTCATCAACTCTCCTTCCTCTTGCTTAATGGAGCTGTAAACTCCCGGCAGCGCATAAATCACATCTTTTAATCAGTCCTTCATTTCACCGAGTTGATATATCCTTTGGCATGTGCCTTGCCGCTTCCCGTGGTCTGAGGGCCTCGTGTCACCACATATACACACACAAACACACACACACAAACCAGCACTCTGTGGCTGCAGACATCAACTCTGGGTATGTGTTTACACTCCTCAGGATGATGACATGAGTCTGAACTGGAATTCTGTTTAGTGTCTTGTGGTTTATTCTCTTAATCAGGCTGAACGCACCGTGCAAAATGACAAATGTGCCGACCTGTCTCTGGCCCAAACAGATGGAAAAAGCCAGACCAGGGAAGGCGAGGAGATTTTAAAGAACGTCTGAAGTCGAAGGGGAGAGTTTTAGATACTATGAAGCTTAGATGAGTAATGTAAAAGGAAAAAAAAACTGTCAACAAAAGTAAAAGAGGAGAAGGACATAGTGGTAACTGAGCGATGCCTACAGGTTCATATCACAACCTGCCAAAGAGTAGCATGAGTTCAAGCACAAACATGCTAATCATCCATCTTTCTCATACCCGCCACTATTTTAATTATCGTTACACACGCACACACACACACACACATGCACGTGCACACAGCTAGGCAGGAGCCAGAGTAATTTACAGATTACATGGCAAGTGTCAGCCTGTCTTCACCTTAAGCAAATAAAACTCCCAGCTTTAGCTCCTTTTTTAAGATTTTAAGTTTGTTGAACATTATTTTTCTTTCTCCATTAAGAGGATCTCAGTTTGAAAGAGACAAGTAAGCAGTGTCGTCCTAATACGTATCAAAGTGAAAATGGTAAAACTCTTACAAAGGAATGATCTATGAAATAAATGAAATGTCAGAGTTTATTGACACTGAGCTGTGGAGCTTTTGAGTTATTAAAACATAATGTACCAACACTTTTTGAGAGCAAAAATATCTGTTTCAACACAAAAAAAAAACAAGAGTACTGCACATATTTAAATATCCTAAGTCTTGCTACTCTTGACTTGATGTGTACGTGTATGATGTGTGTATTCTACTTCACAGCACACTGCAGGCCCAGGCTGCTTTTGGGGTTTTCATCTTTCAAAACATGCTCATTAATTAAATATGTCACAAGAACAATAACATAAGTTTAAGGGCTCTTTAATGGCACTCAGATGGGATTTTAAGTAATTATGGGCACATACATATAATTACTATTGCAGCATTAGACCCATACGGTCAGAAATGTCAGAGAGATCTTGTCGAGGAACCCTCATTTTTAGACTAATACATCTGTCATCTAGACGACCCACAGAAAGCACAAAGGAACTTTTTTAAAAATTATTTTAATTTTACAGTAAGTATTTGAACTGGTAGAAGTTTTCCCGGTCATTCTTCAGCATTTACACCTTCCAATACGTTTTATGTTTGCAAAACTTAATTATTGCTCCTTGAAAGTAAAAAGCCAATAATTGTCTAAGTGTGTCTTTGTCGGTAGTGTTAGCAAAAGACACGGTATCTTGAACCACTCAATGGATTTTAATAAAAGTTTAACTAAATAAATATTGGATGTGCATCTAAATTTGATGAACTTGGATAGTCAACCGAGTTCAGGCAATTTTACAGGTACTGAGCTCAAACTTGATTTGTTGGTAAAGTGTAACCCAGAACACTTCCTCTAAGGGCTACGCATTGCATGACATCTTTGTTTAAAACTAGGACTTTAAATGTTGGCTTCAATTATTTTTGACTGTTTGCAAAACATCTAATGAACCAAAATACATATATTGGTTAACCTCTGTGAAAGTCATTAATAGATGTGGATCTACAACTGAATAATTTCTGGAGTCATCTCAGTTCAAAATGACTGCCACAGTTTATGATAATAACCGTCAATTTTAAAGATAATGAGCTGTGTGTGTGCATGTATGTATGTATGTATGTGTGTGTGCGTGTGTGTGTATGTGTGTGTGTGTGTGTATGTGTGTGTATGTATATATGTATGTATATATATATATGTATGTGTATATATGTATGTATGTATATATATATATATATATATATATATATATATATTCATATTCCTAGGGTTCTGGGGCATGAATTTGAACCTACAGCATGTCAATGTTTTTCCCCACTGAAGACACATTACTACAGATCGCAGTTTGAGCAAGTTTACACATGTAGTTCATCCCACAGAAGAAACTGTGGTGACTTAATTAAACTGCAACTCAAGTGTAAAGGGGAAAATTGGTAGACTTTCTTTTATTTATGTATGATCAAAGCAATTTTAAGATGAACACAATGTTAGGAACTGCCACTGGAAATTTGAGACTCATTTGCAAAACCTAGAAACACTGCTTCAAGCACATTCTTAGTGTCCTGCAAGCGAGAAATGTCTACAAACACTTATGGTATCAGTTGGGCCATGTTTGCACACAGATCAACGTGCACATGGTGTCAGATATGCGGGATGATTAGTGATGTTATTGATGAGCAGCCAAACGACTGGTTGGAGAAAGGAAGGCAGTGAACCAAGAAGGGAGAGAAAGTGAGTGTGCAACCTGTTTGTTTTCAGCAGTAACGTTGGCTCATGAAGAGGAGAATGATCAAAGGGTCTGGGAGAGCTCAGCTCAACCTCTGACCTTCAGCTGTTTCCTCAAACTAAATCCAGGCTTTCATCATCTGCTTCCATACACCCTGACAACTTTTATGGCTTTTTTCATTTAGACACAGAATTTGTATGCAGCTTCTAACCAATTAAAATGTATGCTAATGGTTATTAATGTTTAGTAAATGCATATGGTGGAATTAATAGTTAAAATGGATTTGCAAAGAAGCAAAGAAAGGAGTGATAAATACAAAAAAGGTGCCAAAAAGTTAGTCTTACATTCTTTGGTGTTGCGGGGTGCATTCTGGCAGGAGTGGCAAACCATCCCATAGAGGTTTCTGGGTTTATTCTCCAGCATATAATACCTGCAAAACATAAACATAAACCATTATAAAACAGCAATTAGATACACACTGCAACTGGGGTTAACTTGAAAGGATAAAGCTTAGCAAATGATTTGCTCTTAATGTAAATTGTGTCTCTCTCAATATTTTATTTTGCTTTATAACATTTAAAAGATAGAAAACAGTTGCAAATACTGTATATAAAAAAATTAAATAGCTATTAGACCTGCACATAAATACAGTCAGCTGGTGTGGTGGGCATACAGGTGTCTTCTTTCTACACTTTGTACTTATACACAGTATAAGTATGAGGGAAGAATCTGAGGTGAAACGTTTGACTTTCTATAGAAATGTGCATAATTGATACCCTGGAGGTACCACAAAAAGCTTGGTACAGTTTTCGCCTGCAGCCATGAACTGGATTCAAGAGGAGAAAAAAAAAAGAAGAAAGGTATGAAAAGTGCCAGGGTTCTGAACAGATGGACGGTTTTGGATCGTTTAGGCTGAATGGCATTAGGAGGATATTTGAGAACTGAATGCATACAGCCTGCAGGTAATCAGGACTCGCATGCAGGTGCGGCTGATATGTAGAGTAGGAAAGCACTCCCGTTTAATATAACTTGACAAATAAAAGAAAACTGAGCAATCAACAAAAACTGCATGACTTCAAGTTAAAATTGTGTTTCGAAGAGTTGGAGAATAAACAATAACACAGTGCACCAAGACTAAGCATATTGTGTACTTTTACTTTGTTCCATTCTCTTTAAATTACTCCAAGGTGTTCAGCTGGATTCAGTCAGTTCTTTTCTGCTATTAGAAACTCCTATGTGACTGTGTGTAAGTGTGATTAACAAAACCTTATCAAGTTGAAATGTCTTCCCTCTGCCAGGTTTCTGGCATCACAAGTTGTCATTTTTACTAGTTATTTGGTCTGTCTCTTCAACCCCAGAGGTAACCCATCATTAGTTTTACTACTACTATTACTACTATAATTGTTGTTGTTGTTGTTGTTGTTGTTGTTGTTGTTGTTGTTGTTGTTGTTGTTGTTGTTATGATTATATGTTTATGATATGTTTTATGACCCAAAAAGGAAGAAGTGAGTAAAGATAATAGATGGATGGATGGATAGTAGTCATCCAAAGGCATTAGCAGTATGGTGTGTCCTCATTTTATAACATAAACTTTCCAAATTCGACCAACTTGTTTTATTCATAAGTTACTTCATAAGTTGATTAATAAGTTGATAAGTAATGTAAAGATCAATTCAATTCAGTTTATTTATATAGTGCTGAGTCACAACAGAAGTCATCTCAGGGCACTGAACAGAAACATTCATATATATTAAAAAGTAAATTAATAACATTATTTATTTGAGGAGCAGACTACTTTGAGTTTAACTCCATCACAGAACTCTCATCCTGAGCAAGCATGAAGGCGACAGTGGAAAGGAAAAACTGCCTCATGAGGAAGAAACCTCCAACAGAACCAGGCTCAGGACAAGCGGCCATCTGCTTTGACCAGTTGGGTTTGAGAGGAACAGGGAGGAGGAACAGATACACAATGGCAGGTCAAGAATCACGTTAAAATAGAAATATCAAATGAAAACTATGCATCTCTAACAATTAATTTTAAAAAATGATCAATTTTGTCCTCCAGTAGTCTAAGCCTATAGTAGCATGACAACCCTAATTATAGGATTTACCAAAAAGGAAAGTCTTAAAACTGGACAATGTTTCAGCCTCATGGACAGAAACTAAAAGTTGGTTCCACAAGAGAGGAGCCTGATAACTGAAATATCGTCCTCCCATTCACTTTTTGGAAACTCTAGGAATCGCAAGTAAATCTGCAGTTTGAGAGCAAAGTGCTCTGTTATGAAAATATGGAACAATAAGGTTTGTAATATAAAATTGAGCTAGGTTGTTGAGGGCTTTGTAGGTTAGAATATTTTTTAATTCTATTCTGAATTTGACAGGGAGCCACATCACTGAAGGATGATGGCCACTCCTTCGAATAGTGTTAATATAGCTGATACTTGTCCTTCTAACTGCAGTTGCATCATTTTTTTCTTAGTAAAATTAAATTATCTGTCATTTTGAATATGTTTTAATATCGGCTGACCACATTATTCAGTTCTTCAGAGACCCATTTTCAGCATGAAGTCTGAATAAAGTCACACAAATAAATGCAAAACATCATCCAGAAAGTTTTGGAACATGACAATCTTTGCAAATTTACAACGAAAACTAAAAATGCACACCAAGAAAATAAATCATTTGGTATCTATTGTTTACAACTGATATGTAAAGCTGTTATTATGGATGATTCTTTTTAAATCTCAGTTGCCATCAAACTGCAAACATGAACACAACCCAGATATAAGTCAAGACAATTCTTGGATTATTTTCATTGCAAGTTTATTGACTAGTAAACCTGACATGTATAAACTATTTATCTTGTATTTATGCACATATATGCACAGATAAATCATATATATTATGCTCAGTTTGTCTCACTTGTTTTAAAAGTTGTTGCATTTACTTTCTCTCTTAAGACTTGTACTAAGTTTTTCATTAGCACTTTTTGATTTATATGAAAAGTAATTTATTTGATGATAAAACATGAAAACAAAAACTAACATAGTAGAGCATGGACATATTATATAAAACTGCAGTAATTTAAAAAAGAAAAAAGAAAATCTTGTGACAAACATATTTTTTTCAAGCTTTTAATAGATTTCCAGCTCTTTCATTAGTCATACATGAATTCAAAAAGTGAATTAATTGCCGTTTGACAAAAAAGTTATTTTTATTACTTACAATCTAAAGTTTTATTGAGTTCATATTTATATAGCTCTAGTTGGTAGGAGTGAATGGAGTTAAACGCACTTCCATAAAAGTTTCAACACTGCCATTAAATCAAAACGCAACATAAACAGACTTTACACCCATTTTATAAGTAGAGCAAGACAGAACTGTAAAAACTTTATTCTCGTTCGCCATTTCCACTAATCGGCAACGAGTTTAACGTGAGGTTTGTGAAACGGCTCAGGCACATTCATATACAGGACACACATAGACATGATCAAACTGCACTCTCCCTCATGTAAGAATCACATTAATCAAAAGCAAAAACATCCGGCAAAATGACACTCGGAGCCAAAAAAAAAAAAAAAAAAAAAAGATTTTATCAATGAAAGTCTCTCATGGCGTGGGAGGGATCTAAAATATCTTCAGAGCATAAATCTTTCATTTCAGTGACACATTTTTCATCACCTACTTTATTATTTATTTTATTTAATTTTTTTCTATTTAACAATAACCCACAGCATTAAAACGAACAGAGCAGGGTGGCTTGCTCACATGTTAGCTCAGGAAAATTAATGAATAGATGCAAATTTAAGAATAAAAAAAAATGCATGAAGTTAGAAGCGTTTTGACTTTATCTCCTGCAACCTCTGCTACTGTAATTATAGTCCTGAGGGGATGTTTTCAGCAGATCCTGCATCAATAGTGGCGCCACTTATTCTGTTATTGAGCAGATCAAAACACATCCCACTGAGAATTTCTATAAAGAATGTAATCAGGACATTTCATTTTCATGTGTGTTCTTTTTTTTTTTTTTTGCACTGTTTATGCAGACGCTTCGTTTTTTGCAACATATTGTAACACCAATGTTGTTTTTAAAGTTCTTGGACCACAATCAGAGCTTAAGTGCAATTTAATGTACAAATTGTTTTATAATTTGCTTTTGTTACACATAAACTGTTGATTTGATCCACATTCATCACAATGATTCTGAAGGATTCCAGTGATCTACAGGTGGTGGCAATTCATTAAAAACCAAACCAAAAAAAAAAAAAAAACACAACAAGGAAACATAAGAGAGAAGTCTACTGGTTTTAGTGAGTAAACAACGATGTAACAAATACAATGCAATAAATGCTAAATAATTATAGAAGTAATCAATGAAAGCACTTTATAGCTGTTTTTGCTGTGACACTTTATGCACAGATTTGATTAAATAAACTTAGCAATCATAAACTAAAATAACAAAACCTGAACATCACATCAAAAATGTAGAACATAGAAGAAAACATGTTCAGTGAATGTTTTGTATCGTTTCTTTTTTGTTAGTTTTTAATCAAATAGACATGACAGCAAATGAGACCAGGCATGGAGATTTTAATGACTATTAAAGGTAAATAAAATGTTTGGAGAACAATAATTAAAGTTGTATTTGTGGAAAATGCATGTTACATAATAATAAAAATGATGATGATGATGATGATGATGATCATAATAATAATAATACTTATAAAAGGAGGTGTTACAATGTAAAACTAAATCCAGTGTTTTTGCTCGTCTTGGCGATAGATGATTTTGATGCTTTGAATGAAAACCATCATAAAACAGATAGTATTCTTATAAAAATGTTGAAGCAATATCTCATCTTCAACTTCTTTACTGACTTGACAATTCAAAGCAAGGAAATACCACAATTTCCGGACTTTAAGTCACACTTTCATAGCTTGGCCAGTCCTCTGACGTATGGTTCAAAGCGACTTATATAAGTTTTTTTTTTTTTTTCCTTATTCATGATGCTATTTTTGACTGACACGTTAAATGTGCGTTCATACTGACATGAATCAAAGAGTAAACATTACCATTTGCAGCCGCGAGAGGGCCCTAGGCTTTTGGCAACTATATGTTGTTAATCTTCTGCCGCCGTTCCCCCCCCCCCTCCTCTAAAGATGGCGGAGTTGTTCAGAAGCAACACAGAGGATGTTAACTTGCTTGTCGGACTTGTTGGCTTGTTATTCAGGATCCCAGGTATGTCCTGTGTGTTAATGTTATTTGAAATTAAATGTCTGTTCTTGCACTTTGTGAAATACACGTCTAAATAAATGCGACTTATACTCCAAAGTGACTTGTATATGATTTTTTTTCCTCTTCATGTGGCATTTTCTGACTGACGCAGGTTATACTCCAGAGCGACGTATAATCCGGATGATGCGGGGTATATATGGATGCCTAAAGTTTCATCTAAAAATGCAATACTTATTTAGTTTGTGATGATTTTATGTTGATAATTAGGGTACAAATTTAATGTTTTACAAAACTGAAAAAGTGGAAATCGGAATCAGCCTATAAAACTCTGATCTGTACATTTCTGCTTTTATGTGAATTTTCTTTGTTTGTGACATTAAACCTTTCTGGGAGCAGACTCAGCGCTTGTGTTTTTCAGCATTATAATAAAAATATAAATGTAAAGTATTGTGTGAGATATACAATTGTTGCAAAGTGCACGTGTGATTTACCCAGGTAAACATGGTCCACATTCAGCATCCCTTTCTGGAGTTCCTGCTGTACGAACAGTAGCTTTGTAAAGAGCATCACAGTCCTTGTGGCGCCTGCAGATCTCATACTTTCCTTTCGAGTATTTCCCCTGTGGGCACGACACGCAGGCAAAGTCCTCGTCCTTCACACCGTAACCACAGTTCTGCAAAATAAACATGTATCTTAAATTAAATCCAAACTGCGCTTAATATTAAACGCCAAATTAGTCAATAAATGTTTGCTTCTCAGATGAATGAGATGAGGCATCACTACGATGTGGACACACAAACACAAAAAGCCCACACTGTACACACTTTAAAACACACATCTGTTTCTAGAGCCGTCCTTTAGTAAAAATCTGGCTTTACTCTGCCGAGATGACACGAGAGAAATGGGATTGCTCACAGAGGATGTGTGTGCACATCTTTCCATGCATGGTAGTGTTTAGATTGACCAACTCGTCGTTCTGTTTTCTCGCATCGATCGTCTCCAAATGGTGCTTCCTCTCAGTGGGGAGGAAGAAATGGGCCACACACAAAATCACACATGCTCACATTTACCAAAACATACTTGTCTCCCTTTTTGGCTCCCTCTTTCATCTTTAATTTCCCTCTTTCTTCCATCTGTTTATTAAACACGCCTGCGCCTCTTCGCTTTAGGCTATACCGTCAACTGGCTCTTTAAGAAATCCAATATTCTAGCCCTTCTGTTTGACGTCCGCAAGTTAAGGTGCGATGAATTGATAGAGAAGCGCACTGAGCTATCAGCAGGATCACGTTTCTCTGAGCCATCTTTCTGTGGGCTCACCGTGGCTCTGCTTCTGTTCAGAGCTTTAAACCACTTCCAGTGACTGAAAAACTTTCTTTTTAAATATGCTGTCATTTTGAATCATTTCTGAGATGTACTCAGCGTTTGTTGGTTTTTTTTTAGTTCACAGTGGGGGGGCATATTGTAAAAGAAAAGCAGACAGAAAGAAAAGTAACAAAAAATACAGGAAGAATTAGTCAATGGAAAATACAGTCCATCTCAAACCACCAGGTAAAATAATAAACAGTAGATGCTGAGCAGCTTTCTTTATAAAAGACAAGCTGACAATAATTACAGAATAAATTTCAAAAGCTGAAAATGGACTTAAACAAGTTTACATGCATATTAACAAAAAGGGAAATTTGCATACAAAACCAAAAGCTTTGATACATCACATAGCCAAAAAGGCATTAAAGCTCCATTCAAAGTGTGTGTGGGCATGTGCTTTCTGAAGTGTCTGATGTGAACATGGTTATTCTTTGATTAAAAGCATGTCAAAACACACACACACACCCACAAGAGAGGCTGGAGAAAGTGCAGAGGGAGGGCTCATCTCAGTCCATAAACATCTTGTTAGAAATGTTTTACTCATAAATGATTATGTTTGGTGCTTATCTGTATTAAAACGAAACAACAGATTCATGTGATTTTGTGAGTTTAAACTCAGCACAATATGGAGGAGGATGTCTTCTAGTACATGCACAAAGATAAAGAACGTAAAAACAAAATAATACTTCAATTTGTGATAAACTGTAAAACAAAAAAATGGGTAAACGAGGAATCATGATACAGTTTTGCCATCTGCTGCAAACAACAATTATATCAGGTTTGAGTCAGGAACGTTTTCTTAAAAACTGTACTTGCATACTTCAGTCACATTCATTATACTGAAAACTAAATTATATATATAT